TCAGCATAGCAAAATACAGAATATTTCTGATGATGTACTATAAGAAAAAAACTATCATGAGAGAAAATCTGAGGCTTCAAAGCACAAAAGCACTATAAAACCATTAGAATTTGATAAATTTCTTTTTAGTGTTCATATTTACAATATAATTTCCTAAAACATATGGTTTAAACTGTGCTGCATGCATATTAAATATGTCTTGCTTGTGAAAATTATTATTAACAATATTAAAATTAGAAACAATAACATTAATATTAACAACATCAAATAATGCATTAATATTAATAATATCAGCATTATTAAAACTATAAAAATTAGACACAAGGGGGTTGGCCTAGGCCCTAGCCCAAAGGATATGACAGACTTTGGAGACCCTATAAGGAAGGCCTCACCCTCCCTGGGGAGCAGAAATGATATGGGATAGGTAGGGTGTCAGTTGGGGTTGGGGTGTCAAGGAGGGTGTGGAGGGGGACCTGGGATTGGCATGTAAAATAATCTTTCTAATTAAAAAAATTTAAATCCTGAAAAAATTATTAATATTAATATTGAATGATTACATAGTCCTAGATACTAGACCACCAGCCAGGGAAGAGATTAATAATATTGAATTGTTGTGCATGAAGCACTTTACTAACAATGTATGAAAACAAAGTTTTTATTCAAATATGTGGAAAACAAGTAGCAAACTAAATTATAAAATTGTCAGTTTAACTTTCCTAAATTTGGTATAATTATTATAGAGAAATACTTGATAAATGTGAATACTTTGGATTTATCATATTAGATTTCCTTCTTTATATCCTATGTATCAAATATTGCTCATAAGCTTACTCTCAATGGCTAGGCTGTCGCAAAGTAATATCCCAGTCTATTATTCTAGTAACAACTTATATGATCAAAAGATGAAAAGAAACCAAGCTTAAGCTGTTTGAAATGATGTGAACAAAATATTCTGGAACACAGAGGACACTATGTTCTATGACTTTACAACATTTAGTTATTATTAACAATGTTTCTCAAATTAAAACATGGTTCTAAAATATTTTAATTTCATATTAAAGAACTACAATGCACAAGACAAAGCACTTTTCATCTTTAAATAAACTGATCTAGGTTAGGAATATATTCTATCAAAGTAATCCCATCTGTTTACAGTAATGAACAATATATCAAATAAAAGCATCACATGTGTTACTTCTTGACTTACAACTTATACTGGATTACTATCAGAAAACAAACTTATAGCTGAAATTAAACTTCCTTTTTCTGACTTTAAAATTAGAAATAAATGATTTCCAAAGCATACAAATTGTGTTTTGTTCTTACTTTAAAGATGTTTATTAGATAAAGTTTCAGAGATTCAGTTAATTTTTCAAAAGCTTAATCAATTTACGACTTATCTTTGGCTGTTTCTTTTCAGCTCCCCATAGCTTCCTGCATTGTGCTATGAACCCTAGGGTTGCTTGTAATTTTGTGCTGTTATTATTTTTCAAAATGTGACTCATAACTAGCTTATCCTACTAACCAAGCTGTTCCAACATATATGATATGCATATATAAGGATAATAAATTAACTTGACAATGGTTACTATCTTGCTTCTATTGGTAGGTAATCTTCATTTTTTTCTCCAGTACTACTTGACATAAATATAACTTGAGACACTGAAAAAATCTGTAACTATCAGTTTACTTCTAAAAGACAAAATATATGGAAGTAATAATGGCAAAAAACTGAAATAATATCTAGTCTCCTAAGGCCACAAGTGTTTCAAGCATCAGATATATGTTTTGAAGGTTTGTCTCAAGAATAGCTGCAGTTCTAGTCTTGGAAATACATGAAAGTTCTGGCATAGGTATTTTACACATCAGTGAGTCATCAGCTGATCAAAGATCTTGGTTCCAAGGATCCATACTCACACCCCAAGGAATCATTAGTCTGGAACCTCTGATTGTTTAGATTTTTTTAGAATTTTATTCATATATACAATTTATATTGATAATACCCACGTCCACCCCTTACTGCCTTTTCTAACTCCTCTGCTGCCTTCTGTGGCCATATCCTCTTTCAAATTTCATGTCTTCTTTGTATGTTGCTTAATCCAATGAGTAACTTAATTCTGCCCTATGTTTAGATATTTATGCCTTCCAGTGGAGCATAGACAACTTGTCAGGGTGTACACTGCTCAAGAAAACTGACTCTCTCTCTTTCAACAGCTATTCATAACTGAAAGCACCTCTACTAAGGGTGGGTCTCCTCTTCCCCACGCTGACTGTCTTGATCTTTTGCAGGTACTGTGAGGAAAATCACAGATTCTTTGAGTTCTTGATGGAATGGCCTGTCATGTTCAGAAGGTGCTGTTTTTCATCATTCATTCCAGTCTCTGGCTTTCATATACTTTCTACTTCCCTTTCAGTGATGTTACCTATACCTTGAGGGGATGAAGTATGATATGGGTGACCCATTTAAGGCTACAGAATCTCTGGTCCCCTATTCCCTACAGAGTCATGATTCTCTGTAATAACCTCTATCTGCTACAAAAGAAGCTCCTTTGATTAGGGATGAGAGGTGCGATAATCTATGAGTATAAGAATATGGATTTACAGCAGTGGTTTTCAACCCACCTAATGCAGGGACCCTTTAATACAGTTCCTCATGTTGTGATGACTCCAACCATTAAATTATTTCATTGCTACTTCATTCCTGTAATTTTGCTAGTGTATGAATCATAATGTAAATACCACCCCTGACTCTTGAGAACCACTGATTTAGACAGTATTTGGGCAGTGTATTAATTTGGCATAATGGTAGTAGTAAGATTTTCTTTAATGTGTATAAAATCGCCAGCCCCAGATTCTTGGCTAGGTTTTGCAGTACCAGATAGGAGGTCCTTGTTGTTCAACAGGCCTTCAGTCTAATTAGACAGCTGTTTTTCATTCCCTAACAGGTTAATTTCCCAACTACATTCTTAGGCATGTCTTGAAAAGCCAGTGGTGCAGTTCACATAATTTATAGCTGTCTTGCAGTGGTGATAGTACTTCTCTGCTCCTGGTCCAAATAGCACCTCCAGACACTATAAACATCTAGCTGTCATGGAAAAGGTTTCTAGGTAAGCAGGAGCTTGATTTTTCCAGGTCCTATAACTGAAGTGTGTAGTATCTTCAGTACTGGTCTCTTGCCCTCAGGTTCTGTAAAGTAAGCCAAGACAAACAGCAGGCATCTTTATTGTTTAGGCAGTGTCTCTTGGACCCTCTTGATCAACACATTGAAGTAGAATAGCCTATGCTTGCTACTGGGATTTTTAATCTCTTTCACTCCATTCTTTCTTTACTGGTCAGTTTCCATTAAGTTATTTCTAACATAACATTATAATTTTTTGATCACTGTGAGCTGTGTTTTTAAAATGGTTGTCCTAAAGTTTTGTAATATGTATCTCAATTTAGCTTAATGTACTTCAATTGTTCCTAATTCTAGATACATCTAAAATGTTACTCTATGGCTCTTTTTAAACTTTCTTTGTATGTGATTACTTTTATTTATATTGTATATACATGTAGTAAGCAAAATAATAATTTCATTATTGTTATTGTTGTTATAATTTCTAAAGAAATATAACAGACCTTATAATGGCAGCACATATCTTTAACCCCCACACTCATTAGTTAGAGGCAGGCATATTTCAAAATATATGCAAAAAAAGTCAAATACATTTTTATAGTGCTTATTGCATTATGTGATTTTGATAATACTTTTCTAGTTCTCTTAATTTATCCCTGTGGTTCTGAGTTATCATTTAGTGTCTTTTTTTGTAATCTGTTTGCTCCTCTTTCCTATGTAGCTATTGGCATATTTCATTACATTTTCATTTGTTAGAGAGGAAATATTTGTACATACTACTTTATTCACTAACTCATTAAATTAGATAACAGAAGACAAATATTAATCTGTCCTTTTTTTCACAACTATATTCTTGCCTTTAGTGGTATATGGTGGGGGATGATTTAAGTAGTTCCAAATTACTAAACCACCTGAGGCCACTTGCTTCAACCCAAGTGGACATTCCTTTTAGAGGGTTTAGAAGAAAAACAGATTCATCTGTTTATCTTCTGGTTACTTTTTAAAAAAATCTCTTGTTTGCTTTTATGAGGTGCATTTGATCATGATGCTTGTACATGGTAAGAATATCACACCACTATCTTCTGTCTTCCACTGTCATTTCTGGCATGAGAGCAGCTGTGAGTCCCATTGGTATTTGTGTGTGCATGGGGAGATTTTCTCTCCTGTCAATTTCAAATTTTTATCTTCTATTTTATGCCAGTATTTTGCCACTTTAAATTCTTTGCACTCTGTTTTCTTTATCTCTTGTTCTTATCTGTGGTACCAGATTTGAAAATGTTT